TACTAAAATAATAAGAAATAATAACTAACTATTATATACAAATAAAATATGATAATAACTAATAGAAAAAATAAAGAAAAAAAATTCTATTATATATTCCCTCCTTAAAATACGAGGTCCTTTGAAGCATTCCAATATTAAGATAAACTTTATTTATCAATTACTATAAATATATTATACTATTTTTAAACTTTATCGACAATATTCTAAAAGTTTTTATTAGCTAATCTTTTTAAAAGTTAGCTTTAAACTTTATCAACAAATCATCATAGCAGATTTCTATTTTTGATTTGTAAACTTGTTAATGATCAACAATTATAATAATTTATCACTTTAGATACTATTGTAATAAATTTTGATTTGTGTAGAACTTTTTTATTTGTTTGAAAAAGATTTTTAATTCATATTTGGAGTAGCATGACTCATTGTTGTGGCTTTGCTTTGCAGTGACTGATTATTGATTGTTCAAAAATTTTTCCACTAAAATTTTTTATTTTTTTTTTATAAAACCAATAGGTCCATTGTTTTGCTTCAACAATTTTTTTCAAACCTATCTCTACTATTCTAAGATTATAATTATTTATCCTTTCACTTTTTTCAACTTCTACTATTCATGATTATCATACTAGTTCATAAAGAAACTTTGCTTTTCTACTGGATCACTTGGAGCAGTTATTTCGATAATTTGGCTCTTTGGATACCTAGGTTAAAGCGAGAAATAATCGTAGCTTAATATTTAATATTGTACTGCTAGCCCTTTCTATTTTTTATATGCACTTTTCTCTTTTGTTTTCTCTATTATGAAATAATATTTATAAAATTTTTGTCGCTATTTTGAATTTAACTAAAATATTAACAAAATTTTTATCTATATGCATATATTTTAGCTAAAAAATATCTTTTAAAAAATACAGCTTTAACGTTATTCAGACCTCTGACTCCTCTTTCTTGACTTTTACCAACATTGCAATTACTTATCAAAATTTGCTCACACATATTGGTTCTCTTCAAGACACTGTAGCTGTGATTACAAGTTCGTTAAATCGTTTAGAGAAGAAAATTAAGGAATATTCTAGTGGTTCAAGTTGTAAAGAGTGTGTACTTCTCTGTACCAAGTTAAATGATACATATACAGAACTCAAGAAAAGAAAGTCACGAAAAGAGATGCTGCAAAAAATTAAAGACCTTGAAAAGTGTGTAATGGATTTAGAGAAGAAAAATTTCTGTCTCTGATTTTTGAATACAACTAATCAAACTAAAGAAAAGGACAAAGAAAAAGGAAAAGAAAAAAAAAAATGATGATAATGATAATAATAATAATATTGATAATATTGTTCAATAATAAGAAATTGATTTAATAATCAATATATAAATATATATATATATATATATATATATATATATATTGTTTTTTTGTTATTATAAATAAAGTTTTTGTTAAATAAAATAAAATAAAGTCATACAACTTTTTCCAATGATCACTTGTACCAAAACCATATCAAAAGCAGTTTGAAGTTCTGAAGATTAAAAGACTCAAAGTATTTGTAGATCCTATTAGGTGCTATTGTCGACAAAGACTATATACATGAAATACTGAGAAGCAGGCGTATTTATGCTAGTTTGTACCTTGGGTCAAGCTTTTCTTCTTGGTGGACTCCCTCGCATATTCAGCATCCAAGCCAGAAAGTTTATTTTGGTAATAGTAGTAGTGAAAAACTTTCCGACACAAGTACTAGAAGCTGCTAGTATGAAATGTATTATCTAGAAATACTCTCCTTGGTCTAGGTACTCACAAATATGAAAATTTTCTCTCTTCCGAAACTTTTGGCCTTTTTTTTGACAAAAAATGAGGAATTTGGTGACCCCTTCAAAAGATTAGCATTATTTACCACTTCCATATCAGAAAACTATATGATGATGCAATAACACGTGTAAAATGGATAGTACTAGCAAATATTAGTAACTAGCAGATATTCTGATTGAATATCTTACGTGTCAGATTATTCAGGATATACAAACATATACAGTTACTGAATAGTAACATATGGAGTTTAAAGTTCTTATACTTTCGAATGATGATATAGATTTAACCAAAAGAGTTAAGCAAAGTATGATAAGATATACAAACATCTTGGAGTCATTTGTATATAATTTTTAGCCTCTAGCATGAGTTATAGTGCATCTGTTTGTATTTTTTTTATGTCAATATTCTCGCAACAATGTAATATGAGTAGTTCATTACTCTATATAGTTAGAAGTTTTTATCTAGTTAGCAGGTTTTCTTCTCTCTAGTGATAGTT